TTAGATGCTTTTTTATCTTCCTTCTTCAGCAGCAGACTCTCACCTGGCCACCTATTCATTGTCTTGCTTCTTTCATTTCTAAGACTGATATATCCAATCAGCAATATAAGGTGGCATTTCCTCATTTTAGAGGTAGAAAGTGGGATGGATTGTACAACATCTGAATGAAAGTGGGAATATTTATATTTATCATCCCCAATTTTTTAAAAAAGAGAAAACGTATGGTAAAATTATCTGTTATAAACTATATAAAAATAAGTCAGGAACAAAATAAAAGAGCTTTCAAACAAAAAACCAACCACAGGCCAAAAAAAGCTCATCATCCCTCATAGAAGAGCAAAAGTTCAAGCTGAAGTCTCTGGAAAGCCAGATTGGCATCCAGCTTAGTTCAGTGCAGAGCTTGAATCACTTTTCTTTAGAGAGGGCTTTCATAAAGTTGGTGTCATAACCACACTATTACCCATTGTTACTGTTAATGCTTGTTTAGTGCTCAGAATGGACTATTTGGCAGTGATGCTTTGCTGACATTAAAGGAGAGGTGAGCAGCCTTTTTCAGCCTGAGGGCTGCTGGGTGTATAGTTAGTGATGTCATAATGTCACTGAAATAGGTGGGGCCAAATCACCCAAGTTTGCATATGTGGAAGATGGAAGAGTTTGTGGGAGATGGGTGCCATAAGCCCTACAGAGGCTTACAGTACCCCTTGGCTACTTGATTCCTTACAGATGAGAAAAATTACTCCAGTTCTGGAGTTTGGGGGTTCTTAAGAGGCAAATGGGAACCTTAAGCCATGACATATATGTATATCTATTTCATATTTCCCATTTTTTTCCATATTCCTAGTAAAGGAAGAGTGTGAGGCTGTGCCAGAGTGAACCCACTCTCCTACAGGCATTTGGCACTGAGGGCATCAAGCTCTGCGGAAAAATGTATATTTCTGGTATGCTATTGACCATGTGGCTGAACATTGTGGCACATCAAAGATATGATGTTGCTGGTGGTGGCCTCTTTGGAAGACTTTCCAGAGAGGGTGCTTGGTTATGTTTCAAAGCCGGTCATTGTATTATCAGGAAATAAGCTGATGTGATTCACACTTGTCAAGTAGTTATGCCAATGAGAAGACAATAAAACAATAAAAAAGAAGCATGGGTTGTGAAAAATCCTTCGTAGCAGCAGCATATTTGATGGAGGCATTGCAGCTATCATTTATTTATTTATTTTATATGCCACCCATCTCCCCTCATTCAAATTGCTTTTTCATAGTGTGCCATTATATTGCTTCTTCCTATGATGTAATACTTACTGGAGACTATTTTCATCATTCTGTTTTTACTACAATATGAGGTAGTTTTAAAAATTAGGTCTCTCAACAATTTGAAAATCAGTAGAGTGCCCTGAAATAATGCTGTTTGAGTGTATAGTCTCCCAGATTGGAACCCAAAAAGTCTTAGCTATTTGATGAAATAGTGTCCCTTCATTTGGGACAATCTTGAGGATAGTGACATCTTCATAACTGGTAAAGGCTACAGTCCATTAGGAATGGAGCAGTATATAAGTTTCATAAATAAATGACATTGAAAATCCAATCTATCTGAAAAAAAATTTGCTGAGCGGTGCCAGAGGAGAACAAGATGACATCCTTCTATAAGGGTGATGGTGTCATCTGGACTTACCTGAGCAAACCATTTTCATCATAGTTGGTCATTGTAGGAATGATGAAACATTAAGAACATGTGCCTGAGTAGTTTTGTTTTCTCTTTCTCTTCCCATCTCTTTTTCCTTCTATGATGTGTGTGGTTTTTTGTTTTTTTTATTTCTATGGTTGCATAAGCTGCTTTGGGAGTCCTTGGGTGAGGTATAAATGTTCTAAATAAATACTTAAAGTTTAATTAAATAAAGTCATCTCAGCTGTGAAGAGTTTATTACATTTAGTTTGATGGCACCATTTATTTAATTAAAGGCTTTGTAACTTGGGATGTGCAAAATGTTTTCAACCATTTCAAAACGGTTTTGTGAAACATCACATTTCAAGCACAAAGCTGCTTTTTGTTAAAAAATATTAGTTTTGCGCTCAAAATGGGACATGTCACAAAATTTCACACTTCAAATGGGTCAACATGAAATTTTTCACATACTCCTAATTTTAATTCTTGTATTTTGCTCTTTTTAAAAAAAGAACTTTGAAATGTAAGCAGTCCAGTCTTAGAATGGGAATATTTGGATAGGATTTCTTTGCAGGGAATGTGGTATGGTGACCATATATCAAGCCCAGCCCAAGAACAATGATGAAACAGTCCAGTCCAGTTCTTTTATTTGCTTACACCTTATAGACAGAATCTTGCCAGACTAAATCTATACTATAGCAACTAGTGGATCTACCCCAGGAGATTCTAGGGAGTGGCTACCCTGAACCTCTTTCGCTTCCCACACTCCCCCTGTGGACTGTGTTGTATTTTGTCTCCTTTCCACTCCTGGAACGCACCCCCTCCTTCCTGATAGCCTTGACCTCTCACATCACCCTCCTCTTTGTAGATACATAACATCACACCATATTCAACTGTAATTAAAAATCACCCTCCTCTTTGTAGATACATAACATCACACCATATTCAACTGTAATTAAAAATCACCCTCCTCTTTGTAGATACATAACATCACACCATATTCAACTGTAATTAAAAAGGTTTGGGTTTAAAATGAGTGAGCTACAACAGGCTCACTGTTATAGAATTTTCTTTTTCAGACTGTATTTACATTTATTTTATTTGGCTTTCAATAAG